TTGCAACTTTACAGATCTTCTTTATGCACCAAGAGCTTGTAACACTCCAAAGAGAAAGGAAAAATTGAAATCGCGTTGAAATCAAAAGTTGCAACTGTGTTAGTTCATGTTAGCTCATTAAATGAGTTGTATTTTTTAACAAATATTAATAACTTGTGTAGCAAATATAGCTATTGCTAATTATTAACGTTAATGCATTAATTAAGGTTAACTAATGAGATCTTATTGTAAAGTGATACCTATTGGTCTTTATAATTCTTTTGCACTTTAATCTTTGTAAAATGTTTAACTTTATACATTTTTTATGTATTGCTTTATTGTATTTAAATGTTCAGTTATTTTTGTTATAAGAAAAAAGTTATTAAACCTGTTACACTGTATTATGACAACAATTTTTTGCAACTAAATATCAATATCGTGATAATATCGTATTCCGTGATAAAAGCAATATCAATTATGAAATTTCGCAAAATTAAAATTTGATACCAGCATATCCCTAGTAAGGTAGATGCTAAATTTACATACGGTGTAGGATTAAGGGATCTAGAATATGGCCATGCAGAATAAGGCATTAATATGAGCTTTTTGGCTAGTAATATGATTGCAATTAAGCAACTATTTAATAGTGAGAATTGGTCCTTAAAATAAAGTGTTACCATACTTATAATTAGCATTCATCTGAGTGATAACATGCATGCTAAATATTCGTAGCAATGACGCAAGAACACACTCAAACTGAAACTGAAATAACCATATATTACTGTAATTTAAAACAAACAATTCCTATCTACAGTGGATACGGAAAGTATTCAGACCCCCTTAAATTTTTCACTCTTTGTTATATTGCAGCCATTTGCTAAAATCATTTAAGTTAATTTTTTTTCCTCATGGCCTATTTTAAAATTTTTAAATATATTTATTCCTGTGATGGTAGCGCTGAATTTCTATCAGTTCAGTGTCATATGATCATTAGAAATCTCTATATTATGCTGATTTGTTGCTCAAGTAACATTTCTTATTATCAATGTTGAAAACTAATGTGGTGCTTAATAGAGCCCTGCACGGGCCTCAAATTTAGGCCCTAGCCCGGCCCTGGCCTGAGACGCTCAGGCCCTAGCCCGGCCCTTGTCCGACAGCTTATCAGAACTACCGGCCCGAGCCCGTCTTTTTTCCCCCTTCTCCCAAAACGGCTTATACTACTGTTTCAGTACATAACTACAATCTAGTTATACTAAAACAGCTCAAGCATATAACAATTAGGGCTGTGCGATTAATCGAAATCGCGATTTGAGACGTTGCAATTTCCTAATCGCAAAGCCTGCGATGTGGACGCGATATTACTCTGTTCCAGAGCATATGCATGACTGCCAGCCTTGAGTTGC